ACTGTATATATTAGTAGAAGGATAAGTTCTTTAAATATTCTTCTTGAAGTTATTTTTAGGAATGGTTAAGTTCCTCAAATATCATGAAGCTTAGAGAATATCTCAATCAGGCAAACCTCTTTTGAAAGAAAACTGTAAAATAGAGCATAAAACTTTTGAAAGGCTAAAAATTGTATTTCCCTTCCCCTTTTTTTTTAATATTAACTTTAGCAATTCATTGTTTTTTGAAATAATCAACAATGATAAACTGTTGGCCATGGTCTTGGTTAACTTAGAAACTTTATATTAAGCTACTAGGAAAATATAATAATGTTCTCTAAATCTGATTTAGAGTACCTAGTCTAGACTTAGTTTTGTTTAATCCAAACTAGCTTAGTGAACTCCTTATATTTTTTAAGTAGTGTAGTCTTTTAACTAATAATATATAATGATAAGTTAGTCACTTTGTGAAAGTTTGTAAACATTGTGGTATCTTTTAATATCTCAATAAAGACATGGCATTGTAGTATAATTGCAGATTAAAAAAAAAATATTGATAATTCGTTTATTCTATTAATTTATCAAATTAATTATTTTTTAATAAATATTATATGAATAATATTATATTAAATAAATTTCCACTTTCCACGGATTCCTTGACAATATACAAAAAAGACATTCACAAAAAGTTTTATACTTTTCTGTTAATAAAGTCTTATTACTTTTTTTAAACCAACTTGAAGGATAACTTCAAGAGTTTCTCCCAAACCTCCTCTCTTATTTATATTTCTTTTTAAACAAAAACTTGACTTCCAATAATCAAGAAAAGTCAAGAAACATCTTTTTTACCTACAGAAAGAAAGTTCTAAAAGGAAACAAAATCAATAGTTAAGTATTAAAAACTTATCTTCTGAAGCAAGAGTGCAACTAGAGGTTTTGTGCAGTGGATAGGTGGGCAAACAAAAGTCTAAACTATAAAACTTTCCTCCCATTGTTTCTACCCTTTTAAAGTTGTTTATTTTTGAGAGTTTTTGAGGAATTTTGCCTACCCTAGCTTGATCCTGAATTTTGAAGTGACACAAAATCGATATAGTTTTTGCTAAAGGTAATTGATTAATATGAAAAATGATGGTAATATAATATAAACAAGTTCTTACTGGTTACATTATATGTTCCAATGATGTTATTAGTAAAAGAAAAAGAAATTACTGGTATGGACTTTTCCACTTCTCCAAATAAAGTATAACTGAAGCAAAGAAATCATGAGGTCATTAGGATGGGCACTAAATTTTCTAGATGATGAAAATGTGATTATTTGTTCAAACTGAGGTCTTCAACTTCTTATTATCCCAGTCAGGCAAAGTACACAAAGAAGGTTATTTTTTTATCTCGGTTAGGTTGTAAGACTAAAAAGCAGAGGAATATAATACACTGCCCTTCTCTAAGATTGAGAATGTATTTTCTCAAATGTTATATAATAATATTGCAATCAAAATGAATATCAGAAAATTTCTTTAACTAGGCATAGCTGTTGGAAAATATCGAGAGTTATATAACATGACTATAAAGTCACATAAGAATCCAGGGTCCACCATCAGTCATTTTGCTCTGCATGGGTGGATACAAAATTAAGACCAAAAGAAAAGAAGTATTGAGCAAGACACTGGATCTGAGTAAGTGATAAGTATCTTAGATGGTCACAAGAAAATAATCAAGATCAAAAGAAAGGAAGCATTGAGCAAGGCACTAGATCTGAGTAGGTAATAAGTACCTCAGATAGTCATAAGAAAATAATTAAGATCATGGATAGATAAGTTCCTTAGACAATCAAGAAGAAGAAAGATATCCCAGAAGAGTTGATTTCTAATAAGAAGAGATTTCTAGCAGAGATCCTTTGGAGGATATGGAGCACTTTTATTTTTTTTTTTATTTTTTTTTTTATGTAAGTACATTTATACATTTTTAGATATTTCTCTTTTCTTTTCTTTTTTCTTTCTCCTTTTATAGTTTCTCAAATTTAAAAGGATAATAAGTAGTGACAATCTGCTAACAATGATGGGTAGGTTAGGAGGGTCTTCACCCAAAACTTGGTTCAGAATGAAATATTGTCCCTAATGTTGCACTTAGAGGCTGAAGTTCTTTTGAAAATTGAAAACCATTGATGAATGTATTAGTACAAGTCTTTTAGTTTAGCTATGATACAATTGCCCTATGTATCTCTATCAGTTTTTTTAATGATTAATAAACATACAGTACTGGCCTAACCACAGGTATTAAAAAAAAAAATTATATTAAATAAATATTTTTTTGATATTAATATTATCAATAAATATTTAAATATTGTATTATAAAATCTTTTATTATCCTCTATTATATATAAAAAGATATTCATATGAAAATTTTTTATTTTTTTTACAAAAAGGTCTTAATATTTTTAATAAAATAAATTGAAGTATAATTTCAAAAATTATTTATACCTTTCTTCTCTATTTTAAAAATTACTTTATTTAAAAACTTAACTTTTGATAATCAAGAAAAGTTAAATAATTTTTTTATATCAATGGCAAGAAAGTTCTTAAAGAAAAAAAAATAAATTGTAAAATACCTGAAGTTTTTTTCAATCTTTGAAATAAGAGATTATAAAAATTCTATTATAGTAGAAAGGTTTGTTTTTTCTTTTTTGATTGTTTTAACTTTTTTAAAGCTTTTATTTTATAATTTTTTAGAAAATTTTATTTACTTCTATTTGATTTTAAATTTTGAATAACACAAGTTCTTATTAAAGATAATTGGTTAATATCAAATGTATTAATTTATAAATATAAATAAGTTTCTAATGGTTATACTCATATATTATAATAATATCAATAGTAATTAGAAAAAAGTTTATAAAATTATATTTCTTTAAACATTTCAAGTTTTCAAAAAAAAATCTAATATATTAAAAGACAAGAGATAAATTATATGAATTGCAAAATTTTATTTTTTTTAAAAATTTCTCAAGTAGTAAAAAAACTTTCTTGGTTAAAAGTAAAGATCTTTAAATTTTTTTTTGAGTTATCTCAATTTAATGTTTACTTAAATAATAAATCAAATTGAATTGACTTGTTTAATATCACAGGTGGTGACAAAAAAAATTTTTTTGAGATTCACATAAGAGTATGAAGAATATCACAATTAGGCAAATCCTTTTGATAGAGAATTGTTCAATTGATAGACTTTTTTGGAAAAGCTTGAACCATATCTCTTTTTTCTTTCCATTTTTTTCCTTTTTCTTTATTAACCTAGAAATTTATGGTTTTCAGACAATTTACAGTAACAAACTGTTGACAATAAATCTGATGGATAGAGATTTATATCAACCTTCTAGAGAAGTGAAATATTGTTTCCTAGATCTGATTTGAAGTACTTTGATACAACAATAAGTTAGTCATTATGTACAAAATCAGTAATATTGTAATTAGTTATATAAACTTCTCAATAAAAATTAAGCTATATGGTATGGTTGTGAATTAAAAAAAAAAAAACATCAAGTGTTAAATAACTCAAAAATTACTTATTATTTAATAAATCCATTAAATACAAACTTTTCAACTTATAGCAACAAAAAAAAATACATATTTCTTATATTAATTCATTTTTAAGTATATAATATAAAATCCTCATTAACAGGTGCTTATGAATAGTTGCAATAGATAGTATCTATCTAAATTGACGAATACTCAATACAATATTTATTTTGCATAAATAAAATTCAAGTTTCATTTTAAGTTTAAAATAATTGTTTACAAAAAATAGAAACCGAATTATTCAAAGAATATTACGAATATTATTTATTTTTGTAAAATAATTAAATTCAAATTTTTAATTGTTATTATCTGATCCTGAATCACTTATTTCCTGACGAAATTAACTTTTGAATTTTAAATGGTTGATAATCAAATATTTGTTATTTCTTGATCATCTTATTCCGAGTTTTATAGATATACAGTATTTACAGTAAGTCTCGACAAATTGGAATTGCAACCAATTCGTAGGATTCCCAATTATTTTTGATATTATTTTATATTTGTTCTGCTTACTGCAATTCCACGTGCAAACAATTTTTACGTTACAGCAATTCATAAAGTAAGTCCTATGCTTATGCTTCGGACAACCACTACATTAGAACTGAGTCTATTTCATTTCATTTTTCGTTTACATCTGTAACATTTTTTTATCAAATCGGGGGGGTTTATCGCGTATTAGACTGATGATGTTTGTCCCAGATCACCTCTATATTGATATCACGTTTTTGACGCATTTAAGTACTAATACAAGTTCACCTTTTGATCTAATTAAATTAAATAAGAATAAGCATTAAATATTTCAAAACATAAATTTAATCTTCCTTTTGTGGAGACACTTTTTGTTGTCACCTTAGAAATTAGAAAAAAAGACTTGATCAACACAATAAAAATCAAGAGGGTTCGTTTAGATTTGCTGCGTTAAGGACACCTGTTTTTCAAGTTTATCTCAATTTTTCAATTTCCCAACTAAAAAATTATATTAATTTTCGAAAAAATTTTTACTAATCGAAGTTCCTCAATCAGTATTAATTACTGATTGGTTACTGATTATTTAGTATATAATTGGTATAATTTACAGGAAAGATGCCGATTTTGTTATTTCTTTGAATGCGGCCTTTCCACCAATTACCACTTGCTATAAAATTTTTTTAAAAGATGAGAAAATGATCCGCTTTAACGCCAAACAAAGCTACTAATTACTCACCAGGTTCAATGACTTCTATGATGTCACCTTTCTTAAAACACAGACCACCCCCATGACCTGTGGAAAGCAAATGTAATCAATAATTAATCACAAACAAATCATTTCCTTGCAAATGATAACACCGACCATCATAATCCCATAAAGCCTCGAGTTTTTCAACACGCATAGGTTTGATTCGTGACAAAAGTGATCTTCTAAGTATCTTTTTTTGATCTAGATTATAGTCATTATTATCTTGTGCCAATAAGATTTGCGATGAAGATGATTGTTGTGATAAGATAACTGGCGATGAAGACGGCCGTTGCGTTAAGGCAACTGGTGACGACGTTACGGTAACTGGTGGTGATGAATGTTTCACAAATGAGGCCGGAGATGGTGATTGTTGTTGTGCTAAGGAAGAAGATTGCTGCGCCAAGGAAGAAGATTGTTGCGCTAAAGTAAATGGCGAAGAAAACAAATTATCTGTAAGAATGCCTGACCAAAGAGAAAATTGTGTAGACGCTGAGGTTCTTGTTTCATTATTGTTATCTTTTATCGGAGTTCGAGACGGGAACTCCGATTTCGTTTTTATTCTGGCCGGTAAGATTTTAGAGGATACTGTTGCACTTGGAACCAAATTTTTTTTCATAACATCTAACCATAACTGACGTTCAAAAATCTGTTCATATGGCATGAGTTTGTTGAATACGTCCTCACTTGGAATGTGAAAGAGCCGAACTAGTGGAAGACATTGTTTCAAGGTTAACTTTAAAGTTGAGAAATCTTCACAAGACCATTTAGTGAGATCGGCCGGCAAGTTTTGATTTCTGGCTTTTCCCCATCTGATCACATGCTCCCAAACAACAGTTTCTTCTAATTGCAAATCATCACGCTTAAGAATAGATATTAATGCCTCTTCGGGAAGTGATGCTAGATTTTCCGACTTGAACACGGTATCGGGATATTTAACAATAATGTCATTGCAAAAATTTTGGATATGAGTTAAATTTTTTTCTTGAAAACTCATGCGGTAAACTCGAATAAAATTTAATTTCAACCAGGGAGCGCAATTGGTGACGAGATAGGTTTGAAGTGGCTCAATCAATTCATTGAGACAAAGTTCGATCGAGGTAACTAAAAGATCAAAGATAACGGAGATTTCGACCTTTTCTAGTGAAACGGTTCCACTATATATATACCTAGAATAATTGACACTATCAAATAAATCACGAAATTAAAGAGGTTAACAAAATTTATCTGCATAATCAAAAATACCTGATAATAACATCAAAAACTTTAGCCGAAATATTCGACTTTTTTAATACTTTGATATTTTTATCATTGTATTCTATTTCGCTTAGATCTTTTTGCAATTTTTTACTTCTAAATTGTAATATAATGGAGTGTGCTTTATATATCTTGGTAAGAGGGGCTTCACCAACTTCAATTATGGTGTTGTGATCAACACCACTTTGAAACAGATTTACCAAATCACTAGAAAGGCGGTTATAAAATTCCATCATTTTATTTCGCCGTCGTTGTTGTACAGTGCCTAAAGAATTCGTCGCTTTTTTAAAAACCATATGGTTACACAAATTGCGTACATAGTACTGTAAGTATCACAGGAAACCTAAACAGTTAAACCAATTTAATTACAAATTTAACACCAATCACATTCTCTGCCCACCCACTCCAAGAACCCGTTAGCATCAGTTTCTTTTTTCTCCAATTCCAATTCTAAAAATTTTCTTGCAACTTGTTCACAAATTGCGTAATTACGTCGCTCTTGATCATCACCAAAAGGTGGTGGAATTGATTCGTATCGCGAAAAAAGTTGTGACAGATATGTCGCTTTGCCGGATAAACATTGCTTATTTTAGTCTCTAAATTGAACTTTTTGACAATTCTACTCGAAAAAAAAAAAAATAAATAAATCAACCAATACCCCTTTGAACAACACAAGATGGAACTCCGGCGATTGCGGCGCAAAAAGTCCCCCAAGAGGATGTACTTCGACCCGGTACGAGGCTATTTGAAATTTTCGAATTCAATTAACTCGAGAACGTTATTCTATAATCATTGATAATAAAATTACCGGTAGAGGAATGTCAATTCTTCATCGTTGTCATCCCTCACAATTTCCATGGTTGCCAATGAAATTGGAAGATAGTCGGAAAGGAGATTATTTTCAAAGATTTCTTGTTGCAAAACACGACGTAAAATCGGCACAGTTAGTATCGACCAATTAAAAGCGCGCACGTCAAAGTAAGAAATAGTGAGAACCATGAAAGTGAGTTGCCGCTATCACTTTTGGACAATTTTTGCCTCGTTTTAATAGATGTTCCATGACACCACAAAACAAACCGGCACCATCTATTTAGTTCATATTTAAGCAGATAAATAAATAAATAAAATAAAATAAAAAATAAGAAAGGTAAATTTATGCCAGCAGTTAACAAGTCAAATTTATACCCGTGGAACCGGTTCCCTTTCCGAACTCGTCAAAGATTAATAATGATCTCGGCGTCGAATTACGAACTGCAACTGATATTTGTTGGAGATCAATCATGAATGCGCTTTGAATCTTTTTTGTTTTTCATAATGGCATTGGTGAGTGGAAATAAATAAATGATATCACACTATTCTATATTGTGACACGTATTTTACCCTCGAAATCGTTTCCCTGGTCTGAACTCGAGTGAAAATTTTATCTGTTAAGCCTATGGTGGCCGATTTTGCTGGTACGAAACTATCAGTGATATAAAATTAGTGCATGTGTAAATATAAATGTGACGAAACTATAAACTACTCGTTAACCACCTTCCAATGTGTGCCATGTAAGTAATTAATGCGACCTGCTTCAGATATACGCTTTTCCCTGAATAATTAGCACCGCTTAATAACATCACACTGTTGTGCGATTCAACATCGTTATTATTCTCTTCATGAATATCATCGTCATGAATCCCTCGACCTCCAGCAAGTTTTGTATCATTCTCCACAAACACGTCGACACAAAGTTCTTGCAAAGGATGCCTTTAATATTTCAAACAGATATTATCATAAGTATGCATCAATAGAAAATGCGTCGGTAAGGATGACTGTTGCTATTGTACCTTCCATTTTCGATTATCAGAATATTCTCGTCGGTCATAAAGGGACGACAATACCTATAACGTCTTGCGGATTCTGCCAAAGAAAGGAGACTTTTACGCCGCAATTATGAATTGGAAGCATTTCGAGAAAGGAATTGTCAAGCAGAATTGATCACAAAAATCTCACCAGTCGAGTTCGGAACAGACAGCACTGGCGGTAAGTAACAGGGAGACGTATTCTAAAGCGCGATCTTGTAGTTTCTGCACAATCTCCAATTCGCGATCTTTAAAAAACCAAAATGACTCTTAAAAAACAATTATAAAAGATCAGAAGCTGAAAAATGAATGTCTAACTTATACCAACGATGAGTCCGTGAATGTCACCCAGATACTCGTCCAACTCTGTCATATTGATTCAGTTATTAACTTGGAGTTTGAGGAGCGTGTAGCAATGAGAATAATAAGTGCATCCTTTTATACCCTTCATTCTATCATTTTTGTAATACACGGTGGTAGCCGTACTGAACTGACAGTGAATAAAATCGCGTGTTTTTGATAGTTGCAAAAAAAAAAAATACGCAAACCAATAAACACGATTGCATGCATACTTGATAATATAAACCATCAATCTGAAAGTCTTGTTCAACTGTCCATTCGGGTTTTAATGGGACGGTGATAAGGTATCCTAATTGAGGGAAGTAGATTACATTTAAAGTGGACGCAAATTCGCTAGGAATTATCGTGCTGATTTCACGGGCGACTTCCGACTAAAAAAAAAAAAGATAGAGAGAAATTCGATTAGCCGATTAAATGCTCAATAAAAGGGAGAAAAACAAGAATCCTAGATGCGAAACCAAGAAATCGTCTAGTCCATCGTATGTTCGTTTCATGTGGTCCAGCTCCTGGGATTTACATGAAATTCTAAAGTAAAAAAAAAAAAAAATTCTAACGCAGGAAAGATGCAATAAGATTGTACATAAATAAGTACTTCATCAACATGAGGTTTGACCACTATTCGATTTTCTTTGACACTTTCGTCAAAATCAATCTTGGAAGAAAAAAAATAAACGTATCAACCATCGGCAACATATCAAGATTACGATGAAACGTCACAATCATTTACCACATCATTTATATAGGACCCAATGTCTTTTAAATCGGTAACAATAAATGTGTCCTTTATCTAACAAATGCATTAATCGTTAACGACGATATTATTCCGATGCGACAATTGTCTTACAAACCCTGGAAAATATTTCGATATCATCTCTAAACCGTAGTTCTTTGATGAGATTCAGGATTTTCAGACAATAAAACGCGAACTGTTGAATAAAGACGCGAATGTTGTTACCAATAATTGTATTGATCAATCACAGAAAATCGTGCATCTACCTGCAACAAAGATTGCCAATCTTTCACGTTCAATTTTCCCTTTATTTTTTCAATGATCTTGGGAATATTTTTTACATGCTTTAGACTGGATATCAATTGGTTCGAGATATCCAAATTATCTGGTTGGAGGAAACATTCTATGGTACGAAATCTCTCATCGAGTATAGTGAGATCAAGCGTTGGTCGGAGAAACCATTGTTTAAGAAGATGTTTTCCGGTGACCGTGCGTGTATTATTTAGAATTCCTGAATAGAATTAAAACCGTTAGCCATCTAAATATTTAATCGACAATGAGATCAAAATCTCACCAAAAAGTGACAAGCCTTCTTTGGATTTAGATTGCATGTGCATATTTGGATGTGATTCATCCTCGAATACTTGCAGTGACCTTTAAAACGAATCAAAGATATGACTGGATTGATATATTAGCGACCTAACTGTGTAATCATAACGACGACCCACCATAACGTGTCCGCGTTGACATGCATAATTTTGGCTCTATTATTAAAGAACCTTTTTAAAAAAGATTTCATAATCACCGCAATTTATCAAGTGCTTATTAAGAAAGAACCCTTACAAAGAAAATTGCTCTACGCCCAACACTTCCATCAACTGTTGACTGTCTTGCAGTTCACTTGCTCCTGCTTTTACCCTTGAAATATAGTTAATTAACGCTCCGGCACAACAGACCTGTATTTCATGATTTAAAGTTAATAAACACAATTTCTTATTCAAAATTATTTGTAGTTTGGTGATTCCTAACTGTCTCGACGCTCTCCATGTTTACAATACTTGATAACTGTAGATAGGTCTCTTGTTTGCTTGTTTCTGACTGCCGACTTCCTAAACGAATGGAACAAAGTCTTGTTTTTGCGGAGGCATAGACAAATTCTGAACCCGGACGAATTTCAACTTCGAGTTGAACCGTACTTGTATCATCTGTTTAGGATTACATATAATAAATAACGACCGGAGGAAATTAAATTTTCTGGCGTGCAATATATTGGTTTATCGCTCGCCTTGAAATTGCAGCGCTTGAATAAAATCTTCATCCGCGCGTGAGCTTGTAATAATCACCGATGGCATAATTTGGTTTCTCACTATTTTAAAAGAATACAGGCATTAAGTATCACAATAAATCAAAATTTTGGTTGCGAAAGTTCACTCACGTAAATTAACAATATCATATGGCGGAGACTCTTCCATGTCTTCCATGAGATATAAAGTTGAGGTGAAGCAATTATAATAGGCACATCCTAATCTGCGTTTGCGATGGTTAACCGCCATAATAACCTAAGACATCATGTAACATTAGAAAGTCATTTGGCCACACCCAGGGAAAAATTTCTTGTATACCTTTTCAATATTCCCGTCTTCAATTTCATCGACTTCCATCATTGTTTGTTCGTTTCCATCGGTTTGCACGTCACCACTTTTCTGGTTCACCGACTGACAACAAAGATTTGATGAAATGTTTGATCGTGACATCGCATCCCATGAAGGAGTTGAACGTGGTTCGACAAAGGCTCTTGACGGTGAGGAATTTGGTTGTAAGGATAAATGCAAGGAATTATCGTTAGATAAAGAATTCGGCGAAGCAGTAGCGTCTTCCGTTAAGTCAACACTTTCAATAGCGTTTGGCGAGTCCCGACTTTCTTTAACTTTTGACGACCCTATTTCCTGACATCGTTTACTTTGCACACTATTTTCTACATTGGTCGCACTTTCCTGTGGATTAGAAAAAGAATTTTCCGCCGATGGTAAATTTGTAAAAGTCGAGTCTGCATGTTCGCTCGTCATTTTTTTGAATGGTATTATCAAAGTAATCAGCTTAGATTGTGGCTATGAGACTCAAGATTGACTTCAGTTAAATGTTGTCGGAACTCAAAATAGACTTGCATTTTTTATACAGGCGAAGGTCGTCTCTATTTTCATAAAGGACATTTTAAAAATAAAAAATTAATTATAATAATATCTTTAACTTTATAACCAAAAAAAAAAAATGTTGGCTATTGCTTTATCACAAATGTTAATAAAATAGATGTAATAATTCTTTAAACCTATTTTGATATCAGATGATATCCAAATCCCATTAATATTCAATATTTTAGTTACTTTTTTTTTTTTTTTTTTTTTTTAACCCTCTGTCAGGCTAGTTATGTGTGCTTTATTAAACAATTGTAAGCTGCACATATAGTATGAATCGCTAAAGCTAAAACTTTAACTAGCTCACTCGTCTCAGTAATTACTCTAAGTGCAACTTTGG